CCTGCAGTACATGAGAAAAAGGGGAAAAATTATAATCAGGATTTTATGGGAAGTCTGTATAATAAATCATTCCGCTTATTGGACCTCCAGATTTAACATCTTGTACTGTATGCTTTAGAAAGGCCTTTTTTTTTGGCGAACTTACTGTTTGAGATTGAGCAGTGCAATTACAAATAAAATAGTTACTTTTTGGTAAAAACTTTGATAAGGCTGTATGGCATTTTTTAGGTTGGAAGAATATAAATGATTAAATGCAAGCAATTAAGTATTATAAAAGAGTACTGAACAGGAAATAACTCCTATGACGACCCTGTAAACATCAAGCATAAATTAGGATACTTTTGTAAAATGTTTTAATGTAATAAAAATAATCCTTTGCTCATTTTAAATAACTAAGTTTAAAGTGAGAGCAAAATTTAAAGGAAAATTATTAAAACTATGTGAATGACAAAGCTCTTGTTAATGTATGTTAAAATCAAGGCCACCATTGCTTTGAAAAAATTTAGCTAGCAGGTTTGAAAAATTTTTTTTTTCTTAAGTAATTTTAGCTTATTATAATTAGCTTAATAATTTAGTCATGTGTCATTAAATAAATTATTTGAAATGTCTTTGATATTTTACAGTTTGACAAAAAAAATTTTTTTTTTTTTTTTTTTTTTTTTTTTTTAATAAAATGGGAGAAAATAAAGTCTGACCAAGAATTATGTCATGTCTTTGAACAAACATTCGTTTCTATGAGCACCTGGACTGTAGGCCCTATCCCCATCAAAGCAGTAGTTTATTTTCAAACATTCAGCAAGAATTAATTATCTGTGATACTGAGCAACTGGGAATTACATCAGCTAATCATATGAGTTATTGTAAACCTAGTCTTTCTTCCAAATATGTATAATTCCTTTTATCAGCAGGAATAGTATTGTATTTCTTCATGTCATTTAAGCAATAATTTTAAGAAACTTTGTGCAAAATGTAAAGTATAATTTTTTCATTATGAAATATATTACTGGATCTCTTGAAGCATTATATGATACATGGATAATATTAGTTATACATCATATTAGTTAGATTTTTAGGCTGATCTTTGGAATATGGTAACTGGTAGTTTGGCTACATTTTGGAGGTGATAAAGGTTACTACCTAGGACTTTGGTAATAATGTGAGAAGCACTCAGTTCCGATTACGCATTATTTTGTGTGAGGGAAATGAGAGATCATGAGATATGTCATGTGACATTAATGGACGAATTACAGTTGTTTAATCGGAAAAGGGGGGAAATCTGGAAATTTCGTACTTAGCTATATTTTGTGTTGTGTGAAACATGACATTAATGGACGAATTACAGTTCTTTAATCGGAAAGGGGTTAATTGGAAAAGCTCATGTGTGTTTTTGTGAAATAGTGTTGATTAATTTTCGGATTGAATGGCGCTATAAAGCGAATTCTAAATTTTTAATGCGTTTATCTGATAATAATGACAAGTTGAGATTGTTGAAAGGGAAAGATATTACAAGTTTAAATGGCGGTGCAAGAAATATGGAAATGGACATTTTGTGAAAGGAATGTAAGAAGGGTACGTGGTTTGCTGAAAGTAGTTTGAGTATAGGTGAAATTTATTAATTAATTACTTGGAGAATAGACTTCCCAGTTGACTACTGGATTAGAAAATAGCAGTAGTACTGCAGCGACGTAATGAAGATTCTAAAGAAGATTAGGTAAGTTAGTATTTTAATCATTTAAGGATATTATTTTTATGCATTGTTCTAATGTAAGGATTAAAATAAATTAAAATGGTATTATTTGAAATTGTTATTAGCAATGATTTAGTTAAAAGTAATTAGGATCGTAATCTAATTTTTTTAATTTAATGTAGTGCTTATTTATATTTTAAGTAGTGTTTTTTAATTTAATTAATTTAATTTAATGATCGTGATTTTTGAGTTATATGTTTGTAGTATTTTGGAATACGTTTGAGTAGTATACGGTGAGTATTTTCATGCATTTTCGTGAAATTTTCTAATTTATGAGAAAAAGCAGTGTACATGGATATAGTGAAGAGTGTGCGCAATGCCATTTTTGTGCATTCTGGGATGTAAAAGTAAGTCGATGTGTACATGGTTATGATATTTTAATTAAATGATAGTTATTTTGTGAATTTTATGTTTGTAGGAATTTGGTATACGTTTTAGTTGAAGTAACATGCATGGAATAATTTAAATATTTGTCACTAAGTATTTTGTAATGTTTGCGGTATGAATCGTTGGTGACGTTTATAATATAATAGATAATTAGAGGTAAAGTTTTTAGATATTTATTTATTTTATACGTGGAAATGTTCATCCTTGGAAAGGGTATATACTTTTTCGCGATAAGGTATTTCATATATGTGCTTTTTACCGAGTTTAAAGATTCACAGAATTTTTTCGCATTTTCGTTCAAATTTTTTGTAATTTGAGAAAATAGCAGTGTACATGTAGTAAGAGTGTGCGCAATGCCATTTTTGTGCAATTCTGGGATTTTTTTTAGGTAAAAAAAGTCGACGTGTACATGGTTTATGTGTATGTGTTATTGTGAAAAATGCGCAAGGATTTTGCGATTGTGCACTTTTTCCCAATTTCAGTGAATATTTGTCATGATCAAGCAGTTTTGTTAGATAAAATTTCTAGTATAAGTGTAATTTGGCTAGTAGATTTGTTGGAAAAAGTGTTCAGTAAATAAAAAGAACAGAAACATGTCTTTACTTCGTGAAGACAAAATGGCAGCGGGGAAAAAAAAAAAAAATAGGGGGTTGCTGTAGCAGAGGCTGTCGCCAAAAAATCGCCAAGTTACCATAATCCAAAGATCAACCGATTTTTAATTAGAGTTTTTGCAAATCTTAATTTTAGTGAAATTTAGATGCAAAATCCAGTGAAGTTATGTAGCATATTATAAATTATTGGGAATGCTCATATACCATAGAAAATATGATTCATTAAACCTTATATAGAGTACTTTATTAAAAGTACTAAAATATTTTATGTGCAGAAGAAGTACTTGCTTTTGTAGGAAAGGCAATTAATGTAACTGGCTTCATCATAGCTAAAGTAAAACATGTTTATCAAAATAATATATGTAGTATCCACATCCTTATATTGGTTTTTAAACTGAGTTCTTTATTAATTACTTGCAATAAACTTATTTTCAAGGGAAGGAAATTAATGTGCTAACAAATACAAGTATATTAAAGTGGGGACAGTGCTGCAGTGCAATATTCCATTTCAGTATGTGTCCCAGAAAAATGTCTCATGTTTTATAAATTTCCTGGATTTTGTTAGAAATTTAGTTTGCATGAATTTTTTTAATACTATTCCATATTGCCAACACATTTTTGTGGGATTAGATATATAAGATATCTCAAAACTGCACACACATACTTTTAGAGAAGATAAAAGACACTGATATGAATCTTACTCACTTAGGAAAACATGGACTCAACATACCCAGTGCAGAAAATATAAGAAACGCAAAGATACAAAAAGTAATGTAAAACATTTTATTAGGTGAAACTTGACAGAATAGTAATTGGTAGATGTTGAAAAGATTCATAAAAAGTGTTCAAATTTCCATCCATTCATAGTGATGAATGCCTGTCTTTGATACAAGCATGAATTGCCTAAAATTTTCTAAAATATGTGGAGTCTCGTAGAAATTAGCAGCAGTGATGTCAATTCTTGCCAAAAAACAATCATTTCTTAAACAACAATCTTGAAAATCCCTTGCAGAAAGAAATCGATGTTAGATAAATAGGGTACCAGCAGCTCATCCATTACCATCAGCTAAATCCATATGCAAACTGTAAAACTAAGCATGTTCTCCATATGATGATGCAACCTTTAATCAAGAATTCGTAGCTTCTCACCTGGGTTGCTAACATACAATGCCATCTATCCACTGATAGCCTTCCTTTTTGCATGAATGCGGCTCATACTGATATTTTGTATTTCCTCCCAAAGTACGCACATCAAGGTTTGAGACATCCTTCATGCATCATTGAGGGAGTTAGACAACATCAATATGAAGCTTGTCTTAAAACTCCACGTAGACTTTGGGTAAGAGAAGAGGACATTAAAATTAACCATATTCACATAGGAAACCCTGACTAGACAAGCAATCCACAAGAGATAGAAGGGATACAAACACATGGGAAGAACACAATATAGAAAGCAATTGTAAAGTACTTAGCAGTATAACAAATGGTAAGCATAGAGTACAGTTTCACAGGAGCTATTCAGAACTCCATTTGCAGTAAAGCATGCCTGCCACTCGCATTACATGAATTTTCTAACATTTTCAAAGATGCATAGAACTCGCATCTGATTGGGTGCTTTTTCCAATATGTTTTTACAGCAGTTAGCCCATATGTAAAATTTATGTCAGCCAACTCAGTACAGTGTTGAATAATGTAAGCTTGAATGAGGAAGCTCAAGATGACAGTATGCAGTACCATCTATCTGTTTTTAACCTTCTTTTTTCTATGTGAATATGGTTTATATCGATGTTCTTTACCTTCTTTCGAAGTTTGTATGCAAAGTTTTGAGATTATGTGTCCAGTAACCAAATAATCATGCTTTTTCAATGTACACCAACTCCAAGAAAAGGGGAGGGGGGAAATCCTATATTTTTTATTCTACCTGGCAGATTGATGAAATTCATCTTGCACTTTCATGTCTCGAATACACAATTTAATATATATATATTAGAGTTATATCTAGCATACATATTTTGACATAAAATTGAACTTCTGAAATGACATGCTAGTTTTCCAAATTTTGCAAAATTTGTTGAGAAATATATTGAGCAATTCCAAAATATAGTTTACTGCACTTTTTCTCTTTTTGCAAAGAGTAATTCACTTCGGCAAACTTCTCACTTTGTGTTAACCTTTCATTTGGAATGTGTGGAAGAAGTTTATTGTTTCTTTTCTCTTTGAAATATTTTTTAATCACAATTCTTATTTTTAGAATTTTCTTTCTTTTTAAAGAATTTTATTTTAATTATTTGAGTTCTGCAGTTGAATTATAGCTCTTCAAATAGTTGTTTTAAAATTTTCTATTCATTCATTTGGATTATATACTTTGTTTAATTCATATAGATTTTTAATAATTTTCTGTGTTTCGTTATAGATATTTTTTGTGTAATTTTTGCTGTTTCATTATGGATATATTTTTTTAAAATTTTGTCAATTTGTTGGTGTTTTATGTAATTTTGTTCTTCATATGCTAGGTTGGTGACTTTGTGGGAGGATTGAGTGAATAATCTGAGAGTACCCAAATTTTTCCATAGATTTTTTAGATAGTCATCATACCTAAGAAGTGCATTCTTTAAAAGCTATATTATGTTTTGCAGTTATTTTGTATATATGTATTTTGTTTTTTAATTTTGATCTTATTTATTTTTATGTATAGGATTCAAATTTCACATTGGATCAAGAAGAATGTGAAGCATCTGCAACCAATACAATAAATCATCACTTTTTGTTACCAGTAAGAAAATGCTTTTAGTTTTATTTTGAATAGTTTAGTAATAACAAATGAGGATTTAAGAAAAAAGTGCTATCAAAATTTAATGTTAATTTCAGTTGAAATGGCTTTGCAGCATATCGCTTTCTCCTTCGTGTAATAAACAAGATCTTTGCCATTAACTTTCAAAAATGCATTTATCTTCTTTTCCTTAAAATTGGTGCCAACTAGTTAAAAAAAAAAGGTACTATTCCATTTTGAGGACCGTAAAAAAATTGCAGCAAAAATGTATGCGCAAAAGCGCTAAATCTAGTGTACGCACTGATTTCAGATTGCGTAAGTTTATATAGTTCTATATTTCTTAAGACGCCACTGAAATACTAGTTTAATTTTTAAATCCTTTTTTGATATCCTATGGATTTAATAATTTGGGAATTGACCATGACGAAAAGTTTGCAATAGAATTTTGCATGAATGCAGAATCACCCACTGCTTGACGTATTTTTAAGAATTGCACATACTCGGTATCCATGTACACATCAACCTATAGTGGATGGACAAAAATGTGGGAACACCTTGTGAAATGCATGTTTGAAAAGAAAGATTGATTTTAATGAAATATATAGGTGGCGCTGGCGTTTTTGACTACTGACGCCACCTATACAACTTCGTAAATGTGCTAAACAGTTCAGTTGTTGTCGGAGTACTGTTATGTGAGGTTGCCATTCCATTATGTCAGAGTTAACAGACTTCGAATGTGGCCAAATTGTTGGAGCACGTATGGTAGGTGCTTCCGTAAGCAAGGTAGCCGAGGTGTTTAGTGTTTCAAGAGGTACTGTATCGAAGATTTATTGCGCATATTTGCAAAGCGGAAAAACATAATCTGCTAAATCACAGCGCGGACAAAAGTGTGCCCCGAGTGATCGTGACAGACGATCATTAAGGGCATTTGTGACGAAAAATAAGAAGACCACAGCTGCAAAAGTTACTGCTGAAATGAATGTTGTGTTACCGAACCCTGTGAGTACTAAAAACAATTAGATGGGAGCTTCATAAACAGGGAATTGCTGGCCGTGCTGCAATTGAGAAGCCACTCATCAGTGATGCTAATGCCCGTAACAGGAAAAGGTGGTGTTTAAGTCATAAAGCCTGGACTATAGAGCAGTGGAAGCGAGTAATATGGTCTGACGAGTCTTCTTTCACATTGTTTCCCACTTCTGGCCGAGTTTACGTCTGGAGAACGCCATCTCAAGCCTATAATACAGACTGCTTGTTGCCAAGAGTGAAACCTGGCGGGGGTTCTGTTAGGGTTTGGGCAGCCATATCGTGGTTCTCTGCTAGCCCCATGATAACTGTGTCAGGGCACATGACTGCCAAGACTTATGTGAACATTTTGGCCGATCAAGTTCCATCCCATGGTACAAACTTTGTTCCCCGATGGTGATGGTGTCTTCCAAGATGACAAAGCCCCTGTTCACACAGCTCACATTGTCCAGGACTGGTTTTTCTGAGCACGAGGATGAGTTGTCCCATCTCCCCTGGCCACCACAGTCACCAGACCTGAATATTATCGAACCTTTGTGGTCTACATTGGAACGGAAAGTGCGTTCTCGTTATCCACCGCCAACATCGTTATCTGAACTTGCCACCGTTTTTCAGGAAGAATGGTATAATATTCCCCTGGCAAACATACAGGAACTGTATTTATCCATTCCGAGAAGACTGCAAGCTGTTTTGAATACCAACGGATTTCCTACACCATATTAAGCAAAGAAACATGTTTTTTTAAAGGTGTTTCCATATTTTTGTCCAACCCCTGTATTTTCACTTAAAAAAAATTCTCAGAATTGCACAAAAATGGCACTGCGCACACCCTTTATCTATGTACACATTGACCAATTTTCACTTAAAAAGTAAAAGAAAATTGACAAAAATCCAATTGTTTTTACCCTTGCAAAAAGAGGCAAATAAATAAGTGGGCAATTCTGCACTTTACTAAGAATTTTTTCAAAGAAAAGGCATCATTCATTATATAAAATTAGAGATGAAATTATGCTTTAGTGATAACTCGGTAGCAAAATAGTGATTCAGGCATCCATTCAGTTATGTTTAGCAATTTTTATATAAATTATAATAATGATCTGAAATAGTTATTTACTCTTATGCTTCAATTCAGTCATGTTTAGCCTTTTTTATATAAATTATAATAAAAAAGTATTATATGAAATTAACCTTTCATCTAAATTAAAACATCAATCTTAGATAGTTATTTACTATTATACTTCCTTTCTTGCATTAGGGTTGCCGGAATTATTTTTGGCAGCACTGGCATCAAGAAAAGTTAGGCGATGTTTTACAGCCCTCAAAACCGAATAGTACCAAAAAAAAAAAAAAAAAAAAAAAAAAAAAAAAAAAAAAAAAAAAAAAAAAATCAAAATATTATTTGTATTAAAATGTTGCTCAAATTCATGTTTTGCAGCTGTTGCATAATACTAACATACTAATGATTAATAGACATATAGCTTTACCAAAGTATAAAATCTTTCACTGGAATCATTTATACATTTTATACTCAAATGGAGATTTTTTGTACTGTTAAAAATCATTGTGAATTTAAATGACTTTATTCTCAAATAATATAGTAGAAATTTAAAATGGGCGAAAAGCAGATTTAATTTGGTATAAACTTTTGTTGATAGTGATTAATTTAATTCATCATTGCAATGCAGTATTCTATTATCACTAATCAAAGTTTCTTTTAAAAATTATTTTTAAATCTTATAACAAAATTAGTTTGAAAAATTTCGTATATTTTATTAATTTTTATCACTTTTGTAATGCATAGCCCACAAACAAGTCATGCATGATAGTAGATGAGGTCCGTATCAGTTTCTCTACAAAAGCGTGGAGCTATACTGTTAAATTAATACAAGCCTAAAGTTGAATTTTGCTTGATTTTAAAAAGATGCTTATTTTGCTACGTGATGCATTATGATATTAAATATTTAACATTATCTTTAAGGCACCATCAAGTGATTCCACGAATTCTGAAATGACTGATCCTCCCAGAGAAGAAATGAATGAAGGTAATATTGCTGTAAATGGAATTTTATTAATAAGCTGATTAAGAAGTAAATGTTATATTTAATTAATTTTGGACTTCTGATTCATTTTGTTCTCCATCACAGGTCTCATTGAAACAATTAAATCAGTCATGAAAGGAATCACATTACCTACTTCCAATTTACCACAGTGGGCTCATCTGGTGCCAGAGGAAGAATGGAAAGCTGCATTGTTATCAGAAATGCATTCCCGAAAATTACACTGCAGCAAAGATTGTGAAAATAATTGCACTCCTTTATCAGAAAAAGATAACGAACCAGATGATCGAACTGATGTCTTACGATAACTGTTAGGAGGAATGCACGAATTACTCTACATAAAATTATTCATAAATAAATGCATAACAGTTCTGCATAAAATCAGTAAAATATACTGACTTGAAGAATCAATCTCTTAAGATGACATTCTGGACAAAAATTGTATTTGATTTATTATGGTGAACTATTTTAAACAGGATGCTATAAAATAGAAGTTATAACATACTTTATAAAATTGTTAATCTTATATATAGTTTATTGACTTGGAACATAACTGCAAATAAAAAAACTGATATTAAGAGATGGCCACTAGATAAATTAGTAAATAAAAGTTTAAACTGTATTTTTGTTGTATATAGAATATGTAATTTCTAGCCTAATATCAATCTTGTAATTTTCTGTACACTTTATTTCAACTAATAACATCTCACATGTGTTTGATTATTTAAGGGTTGTATTAATTGTTGCTTTAAAATGTTAAAATTTTGGGCGAAGCAAGTAAAGAGCCTGTTAAGTATACCTGAAATAGAGGCCAGGAAGTAATATTAAAGATATACATCATAATGTTATGAACATCATCCCATTTGAATTAATTTCATTTAAATTATCACCATTTTGGGGAGGAAAAGAGTGCTCTTTCTTAGTAAATTTATATAAACAGTGATCTTCGCTTAAAATTGCATATTTTTCTTTTCCATATTTAAGAAACATGCTGATAATTCATATTTATTATTAATTGTAATTAACTAATAAATTCAATAACTCAAAATGTCTTTTTATACCTATATTTTGTTATTTACTCTATATGCCATACATTAATTGCTGCATTTACATAATTTTAAAATAGTACGGAAAGCATATATCAGCAGAATTTGAGCACATTTATATCTTAATATAATAAAATTAGTTTCTGCCTTGTATTCTCATACTTTATGTTGTGCTTGTTGTTCTAAAATATATTATAAAATACATGATTTCTGTATGCAGTATTTGTTTTCTATTCACTTAAAACACATATTTTAACATTAATTATTGAGTGTTCAAATTTAATCTAATGCACAATATTATAAAAGCAAACGTTAATTTTTATCCTATTTCATAGCTATAAAAATTATAAATTACTAGAAGTGTGTTTATAATTTCAGAGCAAACATCAACATTTAAAAAATTTTTAAGTCTTTCCATAGTTAGATTAAAAGTTATTTTTAAAAATTTTTCTTTCCTATTTATGCTTTTTTTGGGGGAAAGGAGATGCTTTCATGGAGAACTATCTAAAGAAAACTGGTTCATATCAACACCCATGCAGCCAGCCTGTCCAATGGGATTCAAACCCCAATTGAACTGCCAGTGTTGAGTTTATCCCTTGGCCACTAGTTTGTGTAAAACTTCTGAATAATAATTACACTTAAGTTTCTAGATATCTTGAGTGTGAGACTGAAATACAAAGAAAAATGTGTGTATGCGTTAGAAAGGATATTCTTTATTGGTTCTTGTTAAAACCCAAAAATCTTACTGTGTGCTTTCGTTCAACTAGTTAAATCAATCAAAATCACTACGCTGTATAATAAAAACCTGAAAATTGATATTAGGTAACAACTCTGATTAGTAGAAGTGTTGATGGCTGCAAAAAGAAAGATTTCCTTTTTAACTGCTTTAGTAAGCAGATATGAAACTTCCTGGGAGTTTGATTTTAAATTTGTACATTTTTTTCAAATCACATACTTTAAAGTTAACATCAACATTCCTCTTTTACAATCATAAGGCCCTAGCTGATGACCCCATTGATACCACGTTTTCAACAACTGCAGACTAAGGTTATATTTTAATTAGAATTTGATTTTAAATTAAAAAGGTAATATACTTTGTTTCTTAAAAAATATATCTCATATTTTTTTAATTAAATGTTTAAAACAATTTTTAAATGGCTAAGTTTAATTTATGTAGAAATACATCTATATGTGCCTGTATCTGGATATCAATTACACAATTATTTTAAAGTTTATAAAACTTATGGGGCACTTTCATTATTGAATATCTCATTTCTTCCTGCTTAGTAAATCATTAAAAAAGCATTATAAAAATTCTTTGCTTTTTGCAAGCAATAAAATAAAAGTTTTCATATACAGTCAAATTGACCACTTTTGTGGTTCTAGCGCTTATTGTATACTCTTATATTTTGCAAAAACACTCTATATATGTGGAAGTCTTGTATCTTTTATACTTCCTTATACATAAAAACTTGTTAAACAACTAGGACTAATCATTTGGTGGTGGTGGGGGGTAAAATTCTATAGCAGTGCGATTATTCGTTCCTGCGATTGGTTTTCTGACTTGCTAAATGCAATATGTTTTTTATTGTGGAACATGTGCACTTTTATTGTATGCTTTACTTTAGTAGAAGGATACTGATGCACAGCAATTAACTAGTCTATTACTATTATTTTAACATAATTCTAAATAATGCGTTTTTATTCACACAATCCAAATATGTGTATATTTTGTAATTAAACTGAATAATTTTTTTCCTGTAATTATTTTGGCTACTTTCAAAAATGCATTCTTTATTGCCAATTTTTACTACAATAGCGCACTTTTGCATTCTAAATTTCACTTTGAATTTCCTACGATACTTTCCTTTATTTTCTCTATTACTATACTGAATTCAACAATAATTGTGCAGGAATTTATTTTATGGTTCTTCTGAATAAATTTCAAAATTCATGAATGTTAAAGTTTCTTTGCTTTTTTATTTATATATGTATATTCATAAAAAAGGAATTTTCATAAAAGAATTAGAACAGAAATTACAGTAAACTGAGTGAAATGTTATCCATATTAATCAATGAAATTTTAGTAAATATATACATGGATAAAAAAACTGTATGAATTACATACCTGTCATTAAAAAAATTATACTCACATTATAGCCATATACTGTTAAAATTTTTATGAAAAATATTTTATGGAAGGAAATAAAAATTGTTATCTTTAATATGAAAATAATGACTCAGTTGAATGATAATAATAAATTCAAAGGCTTTATTTTATACATCTTATACACTATTTGTTAGATGGTTATTTAAAATTTCTATGGCTCCTCTTTACTTGAACCTTCAACTTGTACTTTCTCTTTCTCCTTAAAATAAATAAACAAGTAAGTAGAATTCATCAAAGGAAAATCAAAGCAGCAAAGGAAAAATATAACTTACTTTTGTCTCACTCTAGGTTCTATAAGATTTCTTCGTTGCAAACTTTTATACCGGTCTTCAAGCAAATTACCATCAGTCTATCACAAGAAAGTGGAAATTACAGTTGCGTATGAGTTTTAATTTTTCACTATATTATACATTTTGATCTGCATGTGTAATATATAAATGCATGTATAATATAGGATTAAAAAAGAACATTACTAAATAAAATATCCAAATAACAATGAATATAATGTTGAAAAGAGGAGAAAATGACAGTGAATAAAATAGAAAAAAAAAAAAAAAAAAAAACCAGTAAAATATAAATGTTGAAGTTTGTTCGTTATAAGAATTAGGTATGGGGCAAAGTCAATACATTTTAAAATTTTATTATAAAATGTCATATGAAAACACTGATCTTAAGAAATGAAATATAAAAAATTTCTAAGAGGATATACAAAATTAAAAAATATATTACCATGCCCAAAAGTACAACCAGATGCAAATTAATCAGAAAAAAACTTATGTTGCAGAGTTGCGATTTTACTACCTACCCAGAACTTAGGTCAAATGAAAAAAAGAAACACGTGCATAATGTCAAATTAGATCATTATTTAAAATTTATATCATGATAATGAAGTTCATAAAATTTCATACAAAGCATATATACTAAGACAAGCTATTATTTATGTGTCCATTCTCCCTTGTTCTTCCCATTCTTTTTAACATTTAACCTTTTACACTCCAACATTCCCTAAATGGAACATTGAATTTAAAATTTTACAAAAAACACAATTTTATTAATATTGCTTTGTAAAAGTTATTACATGGAGAGTAAATATGGATTGATTTTTTAGTAGCAATATAATGCTTCTAAAAGAAATAGTATCTTGATAAAAAAAAATTCATTATTTCACCTTTTTTCCTACATTTCTAAGAGCAAATTCATAAATTAAAAATTCAACAAATGTTTTTAAAAATCAATGAGGATATTTAAAAAGGATCATTTTATGCATAGACAGTAATTTATCATAGAAAGATGATTATTATTTTTTACTATGAGGTAAGAAATGTGGAATGTTTCAGAAAGGGAACATTGGCGTGTAAAGGTATATTTTTTAACACGATGAAATTACTTTGATTGCCATGAATAGAGGCATACAGAAAGATTTTCCAAATGTGAAAAGTTCCAGTAAGTGTGGAAAATAGATGTTTATGACTGTTAATCTGTTTTCGACTCTCGTATATCCCCCTTCTTACCTTTCACACATTCCCATAAGGGTTTGAAGTGAGTTACAGCTGCTAGAGAAAAGCACGTGGCATTTCTTGTAGGCTAGACGCTAGAGGTTGTTTATGACTCGGAGAAAAAGGGCATATATTTTGGAATGTGGATTTCATTATTTTCCTATTGTTTGCATTTTTCGTCAGTTGTGAAGATACGCTACGATGATAAGATGTCTCATTCAAAACCATTTCAGACTGTTGAAGAGGCATTGGAATATTTTTATACATTATCAGATGATGAAGAGTATTTGTCAACTACCTCCAGAAGAAACTGATGTTAACAGAGAGAAAATTAAATGAAGATATTTTTGAGCCTGTTCTGCCAGCGGATGTATATGGAAAAATCGAAATTTCTAATAAAATAGATGATAAAATATCTCAAGAAATTTCATTCAATCCTCAAGAACCTTCATTTTCAAAGAGAAGGAAGAATTTGAAGCGAAAACTAAAGGTGGAAGAGAAAAACAGTGAACATCGGTAGTAACAAAATTTTAACAAAATTCTAAAAACTGGCAGCATTGAAAATATTTGCAAAGCTACTTTATCTCCAGTTGAAATTTTCACAAGTTCCTAACTAGAGAATATTTGCTGCTTTTAGCAAATATGACAGGTCTTTACGCAAAACAGAAAGGAGAAGTTTTAGCTGTAGATGAAAACGATATTGGGCAGTTTTTTGGATTACTGTTGTTTAGCGGGTATCATCAAGTTACCCAGCGAAGATTTATCTGTTCCAGTAGTTTCTTCTGTAATGCCAAGAAAATAGATTTCGAAAACTGAAAATATATTTTCATATATAGATAATACCAAGTTGGCATTAGGAGATGAAACAGGAAACGTTTCTCCTTTTTATGAAGAACTGGAAAAAAACTTTCAACAGTTCGGCATCTTCCATTCTAAATTGAGTGAGTATAGATGAATCGATGGTCCCCTTTTATGGTCATCATTCGGCTAAAATGTTCATTGGAGGTAAATCAATTTGGTTTGGTTATAAAATATGGATGTTGTGCTTCAATAATGACTATCCAAAGGCAATGAGAATCTATAGCGGGAAAAGCTCAGTAACAGAAAACTCCCCTCTGGGATCAAGAGTTGTGTGGGAACTTTTATCAAGTGTTGAAAATCCAGGTAAGCACAAAAATTTTTTTTTATAACTCTTTTCATCCCGTAAACCGTTCACAGATTTATCTGAAAAGAACTTTAAAGCAACTGGCACAATTTGGGATTTTTGGACTGGAAGATGCCCTCTCAGATCTCCAAAGAAAGCTTCAAAATTTCAAAGAGGAAATTTTGATTACTGAAGTGAGGGACAAGTTTGCATTTGCTGCTCAAAAGACAGTGCTGTAGTAGCTATAGCATCCAATTATTCAATGCATGAACCTGTCTAAGCTAAGAGATTTTGCTGAGCCTCACAAAAAGAAAATTGATATTCCTCAGCCGTATCTTATAAAAATGTCTAATGATGGAATGGGAGGAGTCTATTTGCTAGATAGACTTCTCGGATCATATCGACCTATGTTTAGAAGCAAAAAAAATGGTACTGGAATCTATTTAGCAATGCATTAAATATGGCTGTTGTTGCTGGGTGGATTTTACATTCACATTTGCACAAAGGTACAAAGCAGAACTGGACATCTCAATTTCAGAGAGAAGACTTATATCTGCTTTGCATGAAAAAAAGTCTATCAGTTCTGGACCTATGCACAAAACTTGAATCTTGAGAAATTAATTCACATATCTTGTGCCAACACACAGGACGTGCACTTAGCCAGAAGCACTGAAACAAATTTGAGTGCGAGAAAAAGACTGATAGAATGCTTTCCTAACTAGCAAGACAGTAGAAAAAAAAAAAAAAGAATTTTTTATAAATGTTATGATGGAATGGGAGGAGTCTATTTGCTAGATAGATTTCCGGCGATTATTTTTACTTCTTTATTCTACAACCTTGTCCTTATTCAGTAAAATGTAACAATTATGTAAATTATTTTATAAATTCATGCTTATCACTACGTATTTTGTTTAATTATTACAAAGCTTTTCTGTGGACTTCATATTTCTCCTAAGAAACTTTGATGAGTGCTTGTGGTTTCTAGTGTAGACTCCTATAAAGTTAAGAACCATGCATTTTTTTTTTTTTTTTTTTAATGCTGATACTAGTGTACATCTTCAGAACTGGAACAAGAACACTTACTCTTTACATATACATTGCTATATATGACACTTCATTTTACATTATTAGCATTTTCTTTGCATTCTTATTCAATCAACTCATTGAAGCAAACTCATACAAATGTAAACTGGCTTTAACTGATGCTTTGTTTTTTCGTGTATAATTAAGATAACATCAGAAACTGTTATCAGTAATTTCTGGGACATGTATTAAAAAAATGCATATATACCTTTAAAGTTCGTAAAGAGCCAGTCAATTCTTCAGTTAGGTTAAGTTCTACATCTGGAGACTCATATTTATGTTTGCTTAAGGCTCGTGGTTTATACATCTTTTCTATTTCTCTTTCAATTTTTTTCTTATGTTTCTGATCAGATAGTTTTTCTTCTTTTTTTATTTCACTCTTGATACTTCGAATCCTTTAAGAATATAAGTTTATAGATTTAGTACAAAATTACACAACCAAAAAAAGTAAATTTTCAGTATATCAATTCAAATAACTTACAGTATTGGATATGCAGATCATAAAACAAAGAAAGGAATAGCAATTAAAAGAATGGCTTGAATTTTTTTAAAAAAAATCTTGCAATGCATACCTATAAACCTCATGTAATCTCTTTTTAGCAAGTTTTTCTTCAGCCAATTTCCTTGCCTACAAAAAATGCCAATACATCAAAACAGAGTTAAAATCAGAATAATTTGATGAATAAATATTCAATTTTTTAAATATCAGAATAAAAAAAAGATACAAATGAAATAAAAAGAAAACTACTATAATAAATCTTAGCTTTTTAGCATTTAAGCATTAACCACTGAAGATGATTTCTGTGTTGGTGATAATTTACCAATAAATGTCTGCCTTATTATGCAAAAACACAGCCATTTTCTCTTAGTCACATAGTCGCATGGTGTATCTTTATGTTATAGAGGCTCTGGCACAAAACATATTGTTACCAATACAAAACAAGCAATACATATAAAGTCTACATTATATAATTAATTAATATAGTCATTTAACATAAATTTGTATTTATTGTTTTGGGCGTTCTCATTGACAGGTTTTGCATTTCTGTTTGGTTCTTGAACCAAGAGGCAGTTGTGAAAAATACTTCCTAAAATCCACTTTCGCTGTGACAGCCTGCATTATTCTTCTGTTTTATAAAGGATTTACCAAGCTCTGATTTTAACAGGTCCTACTATTTTCTGTGCTGCATGCCTTATTAGAAATTCATATACCAAATGATTTGCTTATGTGTGATGGTAATTATCTGTTTCTTACCAAGACTGAAATCCAATGATTCCCACAATTTATAACATAGAAACACCGTCATATGTTTAAGCTTGCTCTATCTACTTCGACATGCTCGTATTTCTTTCGTTTCTTATTCTTTTGATATTAGACATGTTTATAGAAATCTTTCTTATTTTTAAACTCATGATTGTTATACTATTAGCACATTTACTGCCATTGACGAGAATATTCATAATTGGCAAAAGGATTACTTGCCAGCTACAAGATAACATGTTAAAGGCTGCCTTACCTAAATCACCAAGAATAAGTACAGCCATAACTCTTATGTATGGGGAACAAAAAATAAATAAATTACTGCCTCCCAAGCTGCAGTGCTGTTTCTCTTCAGCCCCTAATGGGAAGACATTTCGCCAGATTTTAATATAAAAGAACAGGGCTAGGACCTGGCTTTCCCCAGATGAGCTTCTCCCTGAAAAAATTAGCTTATTCTTCATCACTGCTGTTCTGAAAATCAGTTCAGGCTTATGCCTTGTTGCAGGTGTTCAGAAAAATTATTAAGCACTTATGTCCGAGATATTTAAGATGTTGTTGCAATTGTTTTCAAGGCATTGAAGAGTATTGTTTTGAAAAGTATTATTTTGAAGAATTGTTTAATGCGTATTTTAAACAGTTGCTAGTTCAACGATTCTTTCAATCTTCAATACTTTCGTTTTTAACCAACAAACTGTTTTGATCATTTCTTTTGATGCATATATTTTTTTTATGCAACAAAAGAATTAATATTTTGAAATCATTACAAAATGTTCTTGGAAGTTATATAAAGCTAATTTGATATAATATCTCAAAGTGAAATTTTATTTTCTATTCTTAAGGTATATTTTAGAATTTGTTTAAACGTACAAATTTTTTAGTGTTTTAGCATTATAGTTATTAACATTTCCTTAAGAACATTTATGTGATAATTTCTTAAAACTGATAAATAATGGCCACCCTTAATGATTATCCCAACACTGCACGATCATTAAAATTGAAAGTACACAACAGTTCAAGCTCTTACATCATTTAATTTTTGGCACGGTGATAGACAAATTGAGTAAATTTTCAGAATTTCCCAAACCATTTAACCTTGAATATACAAAGCGAAAGATAAAGAATTTTGACTCATGGATCTAATTGCTGTACGTAATTTACTAAGAATTTTCTACTGATATTGAGAAGTGTGCTAACACAATCCTTATGGATCTTACTGACATCTTACTATTAAAATCAGATTTGTCTGATGTTAGTGAAATTGATGACGAAAATCTGGTGGAAAGTTCACTTCCCATGGATATCATTGCAAAAGCGAGCATTCCCCAGACACCATAATCAACTGACTCCCCATATTCCTTCTTTCTACCCAGCAAACCAGTTCTTAGGTCTTTGACCTCTTCCCCGACCAATACCAAGGCTTCAGCAATCTTCGCGGCTCTTAAGAGTTGCCATGACAACCTTACCTGGGGCTTGAAGAATTGACTTCTGCCTCGCCTTCTTTCAACCTGTTCTGATACCATTCACGGTTGGCGCTCAGGTAATCGCCTCACTCATCGCCTCTTTCACTACTCAATTGCCGCGGCGGAGATTACCCCTGCCCAGGTAAGAGAGGAGTTGAAAGAAGCTTTCGTCCCTTTATGTGGACTTCTAATCTTGTACTTTAATGATTCTTGTTCTTAACTTTAGCTATACTTACCTCTGAATTATTCATATTTTCTTAATTAAGTTGTGGAGGTTATTGCTGTTTTTAGCAAAGGTACTCCGTAGCCATCGGCCTTGCTCCCAGACACCAGATGAATCTTTATGCAAACAAATGGAAGAGAAAACCTGTCTTGATAACTCACCTGGAAATTTATTACTTCTGGCTAATAACTAGTAAGCTCAGAATGTTTCTTTTCAATGTTTTGATCTGAAAGACAACGTCAACCTAGTTAAAAACTTTTCCTCTCGTGATAATTGCAATGTTGAAACTTTTATTTCAGACACTGATGACATTTTTAATCTCTATCAGATAATGAACCCTGTTCACCAAGTAATTTTTGTTAAAAAATGTCTAACAGATCCAGCTTTAATAAGATCAATTCATAGAATTACTAATTGGGAACAATTAAAACACCACTTGTTAGATGAATTTTTGGATAAATTAATAATCTTCAATTACATTAAATAATGGAATCTCGTCGTATGAAGCCATTCGAAACTTAACAAAAATATTTTTTTAGCCATGATAGATCTTGCGCATAAAGGTTCTATTCATGATTCTTCTTTAATTGAGTATGCTATAAACAGTTTTCCCAAATCATGGAACAATAAAATAATTAATAATTTTATACAGCTGTAAATCCATTCCTGAATTTAAAGATTAATGGATTATTTATGAAAAACTCTTTAACAGTTCAAAACATTTGAGGCAAAATACTCAGAAGAAACTTCATAATTCCCTTCACAATGTTAAACTTGATAATAAATGTACATCAAACATGCAAACAATATGCTATTTTTGTGGTTTAAAATGGCATAATACTGTCAATTGTCTGAAAAAATGAAATGGCAAATTTTTTTTATGGCTGCAAAAATTATGGTCATGTTCATGCCAACTGTTCCACAAATCCTAGAAATTCTACCATGGAATCTGCTCCTAAACATTCTACACCTGATAAAACTGTAAATAAATTTTCTGCTCAAATTTTTCCAAACATGCTACGGATGTTGATATTTAACTTGCAGGAACCCCATTAATCACACTTTGTGACACTAAGTCACAAGCCATGCTTATTAATGAAAAAACATACCACAAGATTGGTTCCCCACCATTACATCCCTCTAGAATTATGTTCTCAGGAATTGGCCAAGACACAGTTCAAAGCATTGGATTCTTTCAGGACTCCATTGAAATTCAAAACATTACTTTACCTGCTAAAATCCATGTAGTAAAGGATAACATGATTACTCTTGATGCGATTATTGGAACTGACTTTTTGCAACAAACTCAATTTACATTTGATAAAGACAGTATTCATTTATGCAATAGTAATGATGATGAAATTTTTGTTAACATTGCTATGATGATCAATAATTTCCATTTGATCTTTCACACATTCCGAACTCTGGAAGTCACGAGGAAGTTCAACAAAGCATGTTCAACAAACCTTACAAACAGCATAAAGCTAATACTGCTATGAAAGATTTTAAGAAAATGAAAATCAGTTAAGAATGAAGATTATGCCCATGATGATTTTGATTTGAGAGGTGATGACATGGATGAAGATAATGCTGACAAAGATGATGATGATGATGAGCAAGTGTGCAGAATAATGAAGAAGTTGTGAAAAATAAACTGAATTAGTTACAACAAGGTTTACAAAAGAGTGCTGAATAAGCAAAAGAGAAAAAACCTGCTAAAGGTGCAGAAACAGCCAAAGAAAAGAAATGAGAGAAAAACTCTGAAAATGGGAAAGACTCCGAAGCCTGGAAAAAGTAGCATTTCATAGAAGGCTCTTGATGATGAAACATGAGATGCTAGAACCCTTTATCTGAGAAATTTACCTAGTTATATCACTACAGAAGATATCAAAGCTTTGTCTCTTCTAATATTTTAGATGTTGTTGTGCTGAAAACATATGCAAAAAATCTGAAGTGTACACCACACGACTTCCTTGTACAGAATATTAAATTATACACAATTTTTCTTGCATTTCATTTAAACTTATTAGATTGAATTAAACCCACTTCGCAGACAGCGCATAAACCACAATAGAATAAATGCATTCTTTAAAATTCACTTTGTTTGCCATAGCGACACTCTGGTGCTAGGTTTACTTAACAGTATTATATTTCGTTCATATTATAACTCAGAATGCACAAAATTTATATCATTTAAAGAATTATCTAATCGTTGCCACATGTTCTATTCAAATACTATAATAAAGCTAGAACTATTGTATAAAAGAAATTAAGCAAACAAAACAAAAAAGAAACAGTTTTTCACAGACAATTGAGTATTTCTCATTCAATTAATTCAGTTTTCACTTCGCGAGAAGGCAAAAATACATAAAAACTCAAAATATCTGTATTAAAAATTACGAAGTAAATCTTAAACGCTTATTTCCTCGAAAAAATTCCAGAAAGGATTAAGCATGATTTAAATAATAAATGAAGGCATTATCTTTGTTGTTGCGAAGCTAAGTTTCTTTAGATTGGCAACAAATCTGCTACTCCGCTGTTTCAAATGTAAACAAGAACAATGGCCGCCATCAAATTAGGCTTAGCGGCACTTTAAAATTTTAAAATTGTTAATAATTCTAAAAATATTGCATACAGATTTACTAAAGGCATGAAACCCTTAACCGGAAAATAAAAACAACATA